GGGAAATGCGGCTGGAGGGGCCCAGGCCAGCACATGGGCCCGGGGATCTTTGTGGGAAGAGCAGAATTCTTGAGGGCTGAGTGGTTTTTGAACACTCTTCCAAGAATGCAAGTGACTTCAGCATTTCTTTACCAAAAGGAGAGGAAGAATAGAGTGGTTTGCACGGCTGGGGGAAAAGATTATTTTTCCCTCTGGTTCCTAATCCCTGCTCTGATAGAGGCGCAGATCAGTGACAAGGTACGCAAATTGGATCTTGATACAGCGGAGCAAATTTTCTGTGCCAGTCAAAGCTTCACGATCCCCAGGGAGAACTTTGCAGAGGCGAGAGAAGGCGCAGGGACAGGGCCAGGTCCAGACTGCCAGTCCTAGGAATAGCAACACCTGACCACGCTCCCTGCGAGACTAGTGTTCGTGTTATTTGTCAGCGTGAACTGTTTGTGGCTGATGCTTCTATGCGTGGGGTCCCTAAGTGACAGGGACGAGGGGTGTGAAATCCACAGGCGGGGGAGGGGAGAAGGCGCAGAAGCACCAGGGGTCCCCTTTCCCCGCGGTGACTTTAAGATATTCTCCTCTCAGTTTCATGTGTCTGGAGTTAGCCTGCTAGAAATAAGTTTCTGTTCATGTGACAAAACTGGCAGAGGGCAGTCTTGAAATTGGAGGCCTCGGGTAATTTCTTATTTCCTCCTTCCGGGGAGAATCAAGACTTCCTCCTGCACCCCAGCCAGTCGGGCTAGCTCCAGCATACCTGTCGCCAGGCTGCCTTCTGTGCAGCGGGCCCACTGTGGGGCCAGGACACGGACGCACAGATACACTGTGGGGCATAGGCCTGTGTGTGTGTGTGGGGCGTGGGCTTTGTGACTCACTGTAATGCAACATCGGTAAAGTGGTTTTGCCACTTTCTAGCATTGTGATCTTGGGCAAGCTGACTCCATGGATTCTCTGTCTTCCATGACAGTGGGGAGAACCCGAGGTTCTGATGGTAAGATGCTCAGTAGTAAATGGCACCAGGTGTGTGTTCAATAAGGGGCCCCTCACCCTCACCCTCTCCCTCACTCCCACCCTCTCCCTCATCTCCATCCTCACCCTCATCCCTTTCCTCACCCTCACCCTCATTGCCATCCTCACCCTCATCCCCATCTTCATTGCCAGCAGCATCACCAAGCTTCCTGTCATTCCTAATTTCTCAGTTTACTCTTATTTCTCAAGTCAGCCCTGGCCAAAGAATGGGACTGATCTTGGGCACAGCAGAGAAAAGAGTCTTTCTATCTAGGCCTGAAGGTCATGCTGGCCATTCTTCCCAGGAAGAAGAGGTCTGTTTCCCAAATTGGGCTCTTCTCTCACCCCCCGGGGGCCTGACTAGGGACCCCCCGTTTCCTGACACTCAGGGTCCTTCTGCAAACTGCTTGCCTTTTCTTCGCCATTGCAGCTTTCTGAATCACCACATGTGTGTCTTTTGTCCTCCGTCCCCTCCCTCTGGACATCATCTGGGCTCAGGGTGCCTCGGGAAGCCAAGTATCACAGGCTTCTCCTGATTCTGGCTCCAGACCATCGTAACGGGGACCCAGCCCTCCGTCCACTCAATCACGGCCCCCGTCAAGGTTGCTGCTATACCAGCTGTCCGGTATTTTGAGAGAGGTATCTAACATTAGCTGGTTATTTTTGGTGCTGCTTCTTCTGGACCTAGAGTGTGGGGTCTTGACCATCACTGGCAACATTGTTCAGTCAAGTTCGTCCATCCTGAGAGACTGAGAATCCAAAGCAGGCCATTTGTGGTCACCTGGATGGCCCTTGAGGGGATGATGGCGTCATTCTTTTGTGGAATGTAAAGAAAACAAAACAAATGCTTGGCCACAATGGCAGTTCCCAGAGGGCGAGGGCCTGAGGGGAAGGGCCAGTCCAGAGGGGCTGTCGGGCCAGGGGGCACTGGATGGGACCGGGCTCCTGGTGCTGGATGTGGTCAGGCCAGGTAATGTTGGAAACTGCACAGTGTCATCAACTAATGTCACCTCACTGAAAACAAAAAGCACAAAGAAATCAAAGGCGACAAGACAGAGTGACCTGATAATTCCTCGCAGACTGGTTTATTTTCCCACTTAGCCGTGAAGACTAGAGTAACACACCTCGGGGGTGAGCGCGGCAGAGAAGCACCCCCCAACTCCCATGGGGGAGAAAGATCCCACTCCCTCAGCCTGCTGGACGGATGGCCCCATCCCCAGCCCCCAGCATAGTCGCCCATCTTGTCCGTGAACAAGTTTGATCTGCACGCAGAAGAGTCAGGCTGAGAGTCCTGAAAGGAAGCCCCTTGGAATGCACAATGGATGACTGGAAATGGACAGTCCTCTGCAAGGACTGTCCTGTGTTTCTGTCGCTTTCAGTGGACACTAGTGGCTAAGTCCTGCCTCGCGGGATATAAATACACTTGACCAGAAGAAGGGGAAAACAGCTCTGCACACGAACACCCTGGAAGAAATACAGCCAAATTCCAAGAGCGCATATAATTATGCGCTAGTTACCAGATTCTGAAATAGCATGGAATATGCCAAATGGGTGTTTTTTCCTCTTGTTTTCTCAAAAGGGTCCCACCCAACCACTGAAAGGAGCAGCATCAAAATAGCTCGGGGTGGGGGGGTGGTTAGCCCTCCTCTCCTGCTCCACGCAGACCTGCAGAGACGCTGCTGACTGGGGCCTCCCGACCCCCAGCAGCGCTGAGAGGGGGCAGTGGGAGTGTCACAGGAGGCTGCCAAGGCCTCCCCTGGGCCCAGCGCATCCAAGGCGAGTCAGGCACAGGCGGAAAATGAGGTTGCAGCAGGTGTGTGGCTGGGGAGCCCCAGCCCGAATCACTTGCCGCGTCTGAGTCCCCTGACCTGCAGACTCCCTCGAGCCCAAGCAGGTCGGGCGTGCGTGAGGAAGCCGGGTTCCAGCACGGAGGAGCGGCCCACGCTCCCAGCACTGCCACGTCCACTCAGTGTCAGGCCCACCGCAGCGAACTTTTAGCATGCACATGGGGTGTGTGGACCAACTCTCAAGGGGTCATTAAGTCATGCAGTTGATTCTTAAATCATGATCTTAAACCCTTTCTGGAACAAGGCAAGGGGGAGGAGGTTAAGTAACACGACTCATTTCTCCCCTTTGAGGTCGTCGCTGTGGGTGTCTACTACCTGCTTCAGCAGCGCTCAGAACCTTGCGGACACAGCCTGAGATAATTTTTGCAGACCTGGCAGTGAGGGGTTTTGAAACTGCTCGGGAGGGTGGATGTGACTTTTAGGAATAGCGGCACGTCAGCGGGACGGAGAGGTGTAGAATAGAGGGTGGTCAAATTCGCCTCTCATGAAGAGAAGCTGGGCCCTCCCTGGTGGCGCAGCGGGTTAAAGCGCAGCACTGCAAGCTGGCCCCAGCCACTGCAGCAAGAGTTCGATCTCCTCCCTGGACGTGACCCACACGGCGCAGCAGAGACCTCTCCTGACCCGCCCGCTGCTCCCCTCAGTAGTGTACTTAGATGATCTGCCTGTTCTGCTCCCCGCTCTGTCTCTGGTGAATCTTCTCACCGCCCCTGCACCTCTGGCCTGCGCCCCACTTCTGTATGCACAAATAAATCTTAAAAAAGAATAAGCTGTTTGGTTCAACATGGAGGAGTCAGGGCCCCACTCTATCCCTTACACAGCTGGGGTCCAGTATGAGGGGGGTTCACCCCTCAGGTGATTTCACTTCAATTTCACAAGCAGCAGCTGTGATATTGGAGAGAGAGACATGTCTAGAGTGGGGGTCCTGGAGTGGTGGCCCCTTTGCAAAGTTCCCTGAAAGTCGTCAAGTTTTACTCTCAAAACAGGTGAATTTTATGACAGGTCGATGATACCTGAACAAGTTGTTTTTCAGAAAAGCGTGCCGTGGGGGCAGAGAGGTTCCCTTTAGTGTTCCGTGAGAACTGCGGTTGTCACCACCCTTGTTGAGGAGCAAAACAGCAGCAAGAACTGGATGGAAAGGAGGTGCGGGGTTTGCGGTGGTTCTCGGGTCTCCCTGTGAGGGAGGAGAGGAGACCCAGGGCTTCCGCCGGCAGAGATTTAGATGTGTGTTTGGGGGCACAGGAGCAGACTCCAGAGCAGTCCGGAGGCAGGCTCGGCCTTCGAAAGGCCACGGAGGTCGGAGCCGGTGTGGCGGAGGAAGGAGGAAGAGGAGGGCAGGTGTCCGGGAGCTTCGGGTGACAGGGCAGGGCTTGGTGACTGCTGGGGAGCGATGAGAGGCCAGAGGTCGGGGCGGGGGCGCAGCAGCCCATCTCCCCATGGGGGGATGTCGAGGAGGAGGGTCGGAGGGCCAGCTCTGTGGACTTGCTGGGTTTGAGGTGCCGTCAACTTAGAAACGTGCAACAGGTGGGGAGCACGTGATCCTGACGGGGAAGATTCCGGATTACCAGTCCTTCCTGTGAAGTGCCGCTTAGAATGTAGGAGAGCGTTGAGCCACACACCGTGTGCATTACAAGGCTGCTGGAGCCCTGGCAGGATGGCATTTGGGGGACACCCCAGAGAGCAGGAGCAAAGTCAGGAGAGGGTGACGTCGGAAAGCCCAAGCTTCTGGGTGGAGGGCGAAGTGGCTCCAAAGGAGATGAAGCTGCCCGGGCTCCCGGGATCGGGGGAACATGGGGTAGGTCCCGACTGACTGGGGACCCCTGGCACTGGAGGTGCCCAGGCTGCGGCTGCAGGACGCGTGGGCCCCCACAGTTTTATTCTTTCATTTTAGAGGTGGGAGGCCGGAGCATGTCTGTAGACGGAGCCCCGGAGAGTGCCCTGGGGACAGTGACAGGGCGAGGATGGACAAGTACACGTGAGTCAGTCAGTCAGTCGCCACATACACCTCTCCCCTCTCCCTCTCCCAGCAAGATGCCTGTGGTGCTAGTTCCCGGGCAAGGGCTCGCGCCCTCCTCCCCTCCTTTGCTACCTTTGCTACTTTTTGGCTGCTTCTCTTGCCCCTTTCAGGCCTGCCCCCGGCTCCCCCACAACAGCCACAGTGCTTTGTTAAAAAATGTATTGGGTTGTCACAGAAGTCACGGTGCAAAGAAAAAATACGTCATGACTTTCCTGACAACCCAATAGTTCAGCTTTTAGCTCTCTCCTGCTTAAAATCATCCCTTAATGGTTACGGGGATAGGAACTAACTCCAAATAACAAACTGTCCTGAGAGACTTAAGAGGACCTCGCCCACTCCCTCAGCCCTTAGTCAAAGCACACCAGCCCCTTGGGCATCTTGGTCCCTCTCAGGGCCCCCCCTCAGGGCCCCACCCCTGTGCCTCCCAGCCCCTCTGGGTGTCTGAGCCCTGCCTCAGGGCCCCCCGCATATACCTCCCAGCCTCTCAGGGTGTCTGAGCCCTGCCTCAGGGCCCCCCGCATATACCTCCCAGCCTCTCAGGGTGTCTGAGCCCTGCCTCAGGGCCCCCCGCATATACCTCCCAGCCTCTCAGGGTGTCTGAGCCCTGCCTCAGGGCCCCCGCATGTGCCTCCCAGCCTCTCAGGGTGTCTGAGCCCCCACCTCAGGGCCCTCCCGTGTGTGCCTCCTGCTGCTCAGGGGGGTCCTGGCCCCCGCCTCAGGGCCCCCGCGTGTGCCTCCCAGCCCCTCAGGGTGTCTGAGCCCCGCCTCAGGGCCCCCCCGCGTGTGCCTCCCAGCCCCTCAGGGTTAGCTGCCTCAGTATACGTATTGGCAACTGGTAACCTTACATATTTACTCATGGGTTGTTTGCTTCCCGAGCCTGGAATTACCCCTGGGAGAGCTGGCACTTGGTTCAGGACGTGGTGGGCCTGAGCGGGGGCTGTCACGTGAGGGCAGGACTGAAAGAGCAAGTGAGCTTGAAGAGTGGCTCGGAGTCCCACGGTGGCGTGACTGTCTTCGGTGCCTGCTGTGGAGACAGTTTCAACCACGCACCTCCACTGTGGGCCCGGTGGCCGGGCGTCTTTCAGACGATGGACTCCTCAGCAGCCGGATGGGTGTCTCTGTTCTTCTTTACGTTACATTCCCTCCATCTCATAGTCTTGTGGGTTGCAAGTGGTAAGAGGAGGAGGACATTGCCGACTCCATCCCCAGCCCCAGCTCCGCTGTGTTCTACAGGGAAATCAGGCTCCTGAGCGAGGTCTGGTTTCCTTGGTGACCTGGGAGGTTCAGTTATGTTTGAAACTGCTAAGGAGGAGAAAAACGTGATGGTAGCAGTTGCGTGTTTTGCGTCGGGAAGGAGCACTTTTCAGCCCTCCGCGGAGGCTGGGGATGGGCCTCCTTGACTGGCCAGGGTTGACCACTGGCCAGGCCAGCGGGCGGAGTGACACTTTGTCGCTGCTCCCAGGATCCCACCGCCAGTTTGGCAGGCGTGTCCCAGGCCAGCTCTGGGCCATGGGTCTGGCTCCTCTGGCTCCCTGCCTGCTCTGCTGTTGCATGTGAACACTGTAACCAGGGTGACGAGTAGTTAGCTTACTGCAGAATGTGCTAACCACCTTTCTTCTGGCCGGGTGACACTAGAAGGGCACGGATGTGTGCAGGGCAGGGAAACTCATTAACTCCTTCCTGTCCTTTCTTGAGAGTCACTTGGCCAAAGTGAAAGTCCCGTGTCATTTGTTGACAGGAGTGCCGAGCTCTGCGTGACCTACCTGAGACTCCCCTCTCATTTCATCATCACGACGATATCGATGCTATAGTGAGCTGGGCCCTGTTAGGACACCCCCCCGCCCACTGTGCCAGTGAGGACACTGGCCCTCTGGGAGGTAGGGCGACTTTCCCAGCTAGTGAGTGGTGGGTTGGGGGAAATTTGTAAAACCATTACTGCTTATCGTAGGGGTCCTGTTAGCCGAGTTCTCTCATAAAATGGTCATTCCGGTGTTCTGCGATTACCTGATATTCAGAGTCTACTTTATGCTGCATGTCCCGGAGATACTCCACTTCACTGACGAACTTCTGCCTGTCGCTTGCTTCGTGCAACATGATTCTTAATCCCCAACCTGCACAGGAGAGATAAACATGCTGTGATAGGACCCTCAGTCGCTTTCCCGTATTTGAATTTCCCTCAGTAGAAGTGTTTTTATTCTCTTATTAATGTAATGTCCCTGTTTGGTGGCAGCACAGATGTCCCTTTCAGACTGAAGGGCTCTTGGTGTTGTGTTGATACCCCCCAACCCCAAGGCATCAGCTGGCTGGGGTGCTGGCCTCCTTATTCCCGGGCAGTTAGGTTGAGACACCTGATTCAGAAGTTGCTCTACAGCCTGGCAAGAAAAGACAACCCAAGAACCTAGCTCAATTTGTAGGGACCAAAGTTAGAAGCCCCTGGTGGTTTAAGTTCATTTATGTTGGCATTACCGTTCCAACCCTGGCACCCAGAGCCTCTGGCATCTAGGAGTCAGCAAGAGCTCGGGTTCTGCCCTGCCCAGGCTCGGGCGCCCATAAACCAGGGTGGGGGATAGCGAACAGCAAACCATGCTGTGTGGAGAAGTGCTGTGTGTCCTTGGTGAGGATTGTGATGGGAAAGAAAAACCTGGTAGGGAGGCAAGGTTTTCCTTAGAAACGACACTGGGTTTGATTAGGCAAGAAGAGGCAGAGAGAGCATCCTGGACAGACTGGGCAGCAGGTACAGTTTAGGGCACAGAAGGGCTGGTGAGGTGGGGGGCTGGGTAGCCCAAAGTGGTTAGAACAGAGAAAGAGGGGGTGAGCAACACCAGAGAAGCTGAGGGGTTGGCAGGGGCCATACATGGGGCTCCTTAAAGGTCATGTTTCAAAGGGTCATATAACCTACTAGAAGGTTCCTACCAGGGGAGCAAAAATTTAAATTTTCATTGTTACAAAGTCTCTCCAGCTATATGTAGTATGGAAGACGACTGGGGGAGGGGCAAAGTAAGAGTGGAAGTGGAAAGGAATAAATGATAGCAATCCAGAGGAGGTAAGATGGGACCAGGTCTGGGTAGCAAATGGAGAGGAGGAGATCGCAGTTACTACTTCCTGAGCCTTTACAAGTACCAGGCACTGTGTGATCACTCACACATCTTACCTGTCTTCACCACAGTGCTTTGAGGCAGGCACTAGCCCTATTATGCAGGAATTTGAGTAATCCCTTCTTGGTTAGAGAGCTAATAAGTGGAAAACTTGGGATTTGAACCTGTGGAATCTCACGTTAGAGCCCAGGCTCTTTACCTTGACGGATGCTCAGGAGAGGGCATCATCTGGACTTAGGGATTGCCTGGAGGGGCCTTGGACAGGAGAGTGTGGGGGATGCTCCCCAGGTTATTGGCTCAAGGAGTAGGCTATTGGGCACAAGCATCCCCTTCAGAAAACTCAGAAGAAAGAACAGGTTTGGGAGAAAATAGCATGGAGTTTGAAGTATCTGGGGTCCCGCCAGTGGCGGCATCAAGTAAGCAGCGGGGTGAAGGCCCTGGAGTGAACAGATAGGTAAACACCTGGGCCCAGCGGGAGGGGAAGGCAGAGTGGGCACTGCACTGGGATGGCTGAGGACTGAACGCTGAGGAGCAAACATTTAGCAACAGGTGGCCAAAGAGAAACTGCAGAGAAGATGGAGCAGCCGGAGAAAACCAGGTAGGGACAGTTTCAAAGATGAGAGGACCATGTTTTGAGAAGGAGGTTGTGATAACCCTGATGGGCGTTTAGTAGAGTGATGGGCAGCAGACAATAGTGGCAGATGGACTGATGAGAGATGAGGGGGTAGGGACGATGTTTCCGAGAAGTTTGGTTCTGATTGGCGCAGCTGAATTTATGGCCAAACTATTTCAGTTCACAAAGTCATTAAAGGACACTGTAATACTGAGTCTGCTAAAGATCATCTCTCAGGTCATCAGAGGCCCCTCCCTATTCCAGGAGAGGCCTTCAAATGTCTCCATGCATTTTTTTTTAAAGATTGATTTATTTGTGCATACAGAACTGGGGTACAGGCCAGAGGCTCAGGGGCAGTGAGAGGCTTCACCAGAGACAGAGTGGGGAGCAGAACAGGCAGATCGATGAAGCACACTGCTGAGGGGAGCAGCGGGCAGGTCAGGAGAGGTCTGCCACGCCATGTGGTCACCTCCGGGGCAGGCGGGAATCGAATTCATGTGGAAGCGGCTTTAGATTCTCAGTGCTGTGCTTTAACCCGCTGCGCCACCAGGGAGGGCCCTCCATTCATTTTTTGATGATGACCAGATGACCGGTGCCACTCTAGGCTTCAGGGGGACAACAGGATAAGACATCCCTGCCCGAGGCGACCACATCCTGTGACTTCTCCTGCTCTCTGCTTTATTCAGTTATGTAGATACCAGCACAGTCAGGTTCTCCCTACTTGCTGTGACCCAGTGTCTAGTCTGCTACTATGAAATCTTGAGAAGACTATTGTCCAGCTCTGAGAAATAGGGAGAACTTGTGCTGGTCTCTCGGGGATTATTTTCTCTCAAGTAGAGAAGCTGATGTTTGAGAGTTGGAGTCTGACACTGTAGTCCAATGGATAGCTCCACGGTTAAGAGGAACAGTGAGGAGAAACCTCCAAGCCAGGGCTGGTGCTTATAGCCAGCACAACTGTAGAAGGTGGAGATTTTGAGACCCTACCCCTGAAGTTTGGCAGGGTTGGGACTTTGTCAGTGAAACCCCTGGTGAAGAGGGGTGTTTTTGCAGAAACCACCAGCTTGCTGTGTGCAGCTTCGGCCTGGATCCTGGTTTCTGCTCAGCGGACACTACCTGGAATAGGGCAGCTGGAATCTGGCCACATAGCGGCCAATAACTTTCCTCTCCCTCTCTCTTTTTTAGCTCCCTCTTTCCTCCCTCCCTGATGAAATAATGTTGTTATTGTTGTTTCTCCCCAGTGTCTGCTTTTGAGTCACATCCTGCTGTCATAGCTTGAGGGTAAGGACCTACCTACTGGGTCAACTCGCTTCCGCTAGGTTTGTCTCTTTCACCACAGTCTATACACAAAACCTACATCTTGTCTCTGAACATTTTGATAGTCATTTATGGAACTTTATTTTAAATGATCTCTTTTAACTTTCCATATGACTTTATAACTACTTAGCATGAAGTTCTATTTCCACCCTTTTCAGAAAATGGTGTTAAAACAGGCAGAAAGATGAACCCTTGCTGCTACTGTTAGAAAGGGAAGCCTGTCTGAATATTAATCAGGCAGAGAACATAAGGATTCATAATAAAAATATATTAGTGGTCACTAAAAGGGCACCTCCCAGAGTCCACTTGGATGATGCATTTTGCTTACAAAGTTGACATAGAAAAGTCAGCTAATCTATGCAATGTTGTCTTAAGGCGGATTCTAGATCAAGAAGCCTGAAACAACTGTCTAGGTAGGTAAGAAATAACACTATTTGAATTACTTGCTAGGTTACCTCTGACTTCACAATCACCTACCAAAAAAAGAACTTTAATACCACCTACAGAATTCTCCTTTCCCTCCCATAAGCTCTCTATTTCTTTACTTTAAAATGAATATTTAGAAGCACAGTGGTGCCTCATGTAATTTCTTAGTTAAACACATAAATACTTTGCGATTAAACAAATACTACCAGCATCAAAGAAATATGAGCAGGGACAGATTAAGAAGATGGTGGGAGGGTCACCACAGTTTAGACAAACATTCTTCACGTTTCTAAAGTGTCACTTGAACTTCATGCAGTACTGCAGGTTTGAAAAACTGACCGGGATAAACAAACAGAAATAACAGTATGGAAATAAATCCACATGAGATAATGCTTAACTCATGGATCTCAGCTTTGTGAGCCTACTCAACAGGATGACTGAAGCCAAAAAATGTTTCCTCAGCAAATACAGACAGGTAGAAGGAGATAGGGGTGGGGGAGGGAAGAAAAATAATGAAATGTGGGCAAACCACATGCTTCTAAAATAGCATTCTGTACTCTCTAGTTCTCACCTTTAAACTGCTTCTCAGTGTCAAATGGTCTTATGGTCATGTATCCATCTTATTTTAAGTCTTTGGTGATAATATATTATATCAGATCTGTGCCTTAGAAATCAACATATTAAATCGGGAGAGGGAAAAGAAAGTAGAAAGAGTAGGTGTGGGAAGAAGGAAGAAGGGCCCCTGCTTCACTGAAGCGGTAGCAAATGACTCTTTTTGGCCTCGAAAATTCTACTTATCTGTGAAATTTCAATAAGGAATATTCTAAGTACTTTGTGACATACACATCCTCTCTAGTGTAAATTTCCAGTGAATTCAAACCCGAAGCAGAATGCTTCTTCCAGTTCCAAAAAAAAAAAAAAAAAAAAAAAAACCAAATCAAATAAAAACTAAAAAGTGGAAACAAAAATTCCTGGTCCCAGCTGCTGTGTGGCCTTGATAGAAAGCGTTACATCTTGAATGAGGATTGAGGATTATCTGCGTTGGTTCCAGTTCCAAAAAAAAAAAAAAAAAAAAACAAAACCCAAAACATATATATGCTGTCTGTGCTTACATTTTTCACAAGAATTGATTAGAAGGAAATTATTTTAAATAACAAGCTGTTTTACTGTTATCTTACTATGTTCTTATAATAAAAATGTTAAAGTGAATGTCTTACTGGTTCAGCAAGAACCAGTTTTAACCCCCTTTTAAGCTGAAGTTATTTTTTCTCTCATTTTGAAACAAAATCTAAATGGTTGTTTGAATACCCAACAATCAGGTTTATAAATTCCACCCTCCACCTTTTTTTTTTTTTTAACAACTGGGTGCTTGTGAGGATTTCAGGAGACCTTCCTTCTTTCACACAATTAAATATGCAGCGACAAAGATCACAGGATTTGTTGAAATTATAGCTTAAAACAATCTTAGTTATAAACATGTTCTGAGTATAAACAGCAAAGATGAGTGATAGGGCCCGATTTCCCTAACACCCCCCTACTGAAATAATAGCAGGACCTAGGGCCGGGAAGCAGGGGGT